GCTGCCCGTCCTTCTGTGGTTTTCTTTTTGCCCTCGCCCAACCTCTTATCACGCATTTGCTCTCTCAGGACATCGGTTTTTGTGCCTGTCCTAGTCAGTTGGGGTCTGTTTTTTCCCCCATATTTGTATTTTTCTGTCTTTCATAACATTTTTCTTGATACTTTTCCCCCCACTTATTGAGGCTTTTCTTGAAAAGTCTCCCAAAGGTGATGGTCTCCTTTTCTGTGTCTCTGTTTTTCCAGGAGTACATTTTAAAATATATATATTAAGGAAATTTATTAACCTCTGCTCAGGGTTTTGGAGATGCCTTTTCCTTGTGTGTTCCTACTAAGCACTTTTGGGAAAAGGCAAGAAATACGAAGCATGGAGCGAGGTGCTGGGAATATGTGGCAGGACTCTTATTTTCTGAAAAACATTCTGTTTTTGAAATATTCTTTTTCTAAAAGAAAGACAAAGGGAAATCCCAGCACACCCCCCCCCCCCACTCCTCCCCATCCCCCGCCGAATGTTTTTAAGTCTGGATCAATCCTACAAGCACAACTAAGTTAAGGGTGTGACCTTGTCCCCTACATGGTTAACTTATCCATAGTGGCAGAGCCAAGTCAGGTACTTGGTAACCAAAGCTCTAAGAATCCAGACCTGCATTCTCATTCTAGAGGTCTCTTGGGAAAGGATGTAGAAACGAGTAGGACACAGGCGACCCTGCACACCAAGGGAAAAGGGGTGCCAGGGGAAGTCAAGGAAGAAAGAATAAAGTTGACATTTTAATTTGCATTTTTTCTAGATAAGAGTGGCGTAGACAGAGCCTCTTTTCTTCCTAAATAATTGTGCATTTGTGACTTAACCTCGTAGCAGTGGCAAACATTCCCACTATTTTCTAACGCTTCTAAATTAAAAACCAAGTCCTCATGTTGTGAGAGGAAGAAAACTTTTATACCCTACAGATGTTTTTCTCTTGGTGTCAGCATGAAGGATGAGTCAGACTGAGTGGAGTCACCGGGTGGTTTTATCTTTTGTGGCCAGTGAGCACTGGCACCCCTCGCATATTGAAGAAAAGTTAAAAATACATGAGCAGATTAAAATTAATTTTTTTGCATCTGGTAGGTCTGAAAGCCCTAATAATGGTCACTGCCAGACTTTATTGGCAATAAATGCCCAACTGAAGAGAATGACCATCAATCACTAGTTTCTCCCTCCTGGTGGGAGCTCTCCTGGAAAAGCTGGGTTGATTACCATTTTAATGGAGAAGCAGAGGACAGATCAGTAAATTATGGGACTCCTTAGCTGATTTAAAGAACTGCAGGGAATAACTGCTGTGCCAGGAGCATCCGTTGGTGAGACTTGACCGTCTGTTCTACCCTTTTACTTAACATCAATCCATAGAGAGATGTTTTACAAATGGAGGAAGCCGTTATACCTTTTGATATGGAATATATTAAACAAAGCAGCAGTTCACAAAGTAGAGTGCTGAGCTAAAAACCCAAATTCCTACTGTGACTGACACTATCTCCTTGAGACTACTTCACCTTCCTGGCTTTTATTTTCCTTCTATGGAAAGGCAATAATTATAAGTTATAATAGTTTCCCTACCAGAAATATCAAAAGGATGCTACAGTGAATGTTAAAGTACCTTCAGCTCCTTAAATCAAAGGTGCTATGTAAATACAAGAGAATCTACTTCCAGAAACAGGTAATATTCTTTCCCACACTGATACCTACTAATACTATGTTGATCCAAAGACAACTAAATGATAGGAAATGTATAGCAAATATAAGTGTGTGTCTGCATGTCATGGAGATGTATGTGACAAATGTAAATGAAATGAAGGCAATAATGAAAATTATTTGGGGACATGATAAAGAGATTAAACTTATATTTGACTATAAATGATTTCTCATGGCTTGCTGAAATGGCTCATTGTAAAACCATGGTCCAACTCATCTCTGAGCTTTATGGTGAGCTGTGTTGGCAAACGTTGATTTGTATCTTATTGGCGGTTCCCTCATCGGCAGACTTGGGATGGAAAATACTTCCTTTGATTATATATATGCTGTTGATCTCAAAAGGAAATTCAGCCTGGATTCCCAGTGAAAGGGTTGACAGGGAAACAGAGTGTAATTTTTTAAATCAGCTAACAGGAGAAGAAAGAATGAATTTCTCTCTCTACTTGTGAATGCAAAGAGTACTTTGAATGTGATGTATTAGAACCTCCATATGATGGGGTCTTGATGTGTAACAAATCATCTCAAAGCTTTGTAGCATAAAACAACCACCATTGGCCAGGCTTGGTGGCTCACACCTGTAATCCCAGCACTTTGCAAGGCCAAGGTGGGAGGATCGCTTGAGGCCAGGAGATTGAGACCAACCTAGGCAACACAGCGAGGCCCGTCTCTGCAAAAAATAACAAAAGTTAGCCAGGTGTGGTAGTATGTACTTACAGTCCCAGGTATTCAGAAGGTTAAGGCAGGAGGATCATTCGAGCCCAGAGGTTGAGGTTACAGTGGGCTATGATTGTATGATTGCACCATGGCACTCCAGCCTTGGTGACAGAATGAGATCCCATTTCTTTTTTTCTCTTCTTTTTTTTTTTTTTTTTTTTTTGTTTTTGAGGCAGAGTCTCACTCTGTCACCCAGGCTGGATGGAGTGCAGGCACACCCTCACGGCTGCTGCAGCCTCTATCTGCTGGGCTCGGATGATCTTCCACCTCAGCATTCCAAGTATCTGAAACTACAGGCATGCGTCACAACGCCCAGCTAAAGTTTTTTTCTGATTTATTGTAGAGACGAGGCCTCGCCATGTTGCTTAGACTGGTCTCGAACCCAGTGGGCTCAGGCAATCCTCTCACTTCTGCCTCCCAAAGTGCTGAGATTAAAGGCGTGAGCTAGCATACTCGGCCTCAGACCCCATTTCAAAAACAAACCGAAGGAAAAAAGCACCCACCATTTATTTAACTCGCAATTCTGTGGGTTGGATCAGCTTGAGTATTTCTTCAGACCTGGTCCCCACTCCGCCTGGCATGCTCCCCCACTGGCTTGTGGGTTGGCTGGGCCAACCTGAGCTCTCCCTTCCAGGTCCCCTTCCTTCTAGCCTGCTTAACTGGACTTGCTGTCATGCTGGTGTCAAGGCCGTGAGAGTAAGCAGAAACCTGCCAGGTTTCTTGAGACCTAGGCTCAGACTGGCATGCTGGCACTTCTGCCACATTCTATGGGCCAAAGGAGGTCACAAGGCCAGCCCATATTCAAGGGGTGAGAAAACAGCCCACCTCCCTACCACGGAAAGAACTGTGGAGAGACTGGCAAGGAGGGGGAAAAATAGCCCCTCAGGTCATCTGTCAACCACAGGCACTGTTTGGAATAAAATGGTGCAGAGAAGAATGCCTCTGGGGACAAACTAGGAACATTTCCCAGCTCCTAATAAGTGGGTGGTTCCTTCTCTGATAAATGAACTTCTTGGATGCTCAGCAATGTGGATCCCAACAAGGGGAGAGACACCCGCATTTCTCTCTAAGTGCTCTCTCAAAATTTGCCAAATACAGATGTTTTGGGGTTGGAGACTACCGTGCAACCACTGGATTCTTTTGGCCCAGGACATTGAAAGGTGACTAGTTGCAAAATCGTGAAAACTGGTAAGAGACCTTCGGTAGAAGAAACGGTCACATAAACAGTGTTTACCTTTTACCCTGATTCAACAGACAAACACGATGATTATGTACTGGGCAAAAAGGTGAGTTTAAGCAAAGGCCCTGTCTTTGGTAGATGAAACGTCATTTTGAAATGTTTGCTTTTTGACATTCTTTGATGGCCTATGGCTCTTTGTCTGCTACGGGGCGCTGTGGGGTGCTCTGGGCACGAGTTGCATAACTACTTTTGGAAAAGTGTCCTCGACACTGCAGAGGAAACACCGTTTCTAGTTAAAGTGCTTTTAAGGCTTGGGCCCCGAGCACCCTGGGAAAGGAGATGAAGAAGCCAGGAGAACCCGGAGCTAAGAAAGACAGGACAGTGCCCTCCTCCAGTCGCCAGTGGAGGCTAGGGAAGGGGTTGTCTGTGCAATTTCTGGTCCCTAGGGCCGTGCCGGTGAACAGACTGCCTTGTGACTACTAAAGCCTTGCCAGAGAAGTGGTGAGACCTGATGTTTGGCTGGGGCGGGGCCGGCAGTGGGCACAAGCGAAGTCCAGGTGGCACCATTGAAGCCAAGCCTAGCGGTGCCGGGGAGCCACCCTGGTCTGGCAAACCCACAGCAACCCAGGCAAGGAACTCCCTTTTGTGGCAAAACAACCCCGTGTCCCCCAAGGTTTGAACAAGGAGGAGCACTGAATACATTTTGGGGTGGACTCACCAGCCCTCCTGGCCCTCTGCCATGGCTTCTCACGATTCCGTGGGTCTGGTCTCTCTCTCTTTCTGCCTCCCTACTTGACTCCGGTTAGCCTGACCCCAGGATGAGGCTGAAACTCATGCTTGGCTAAAATTCCCCTTAGTCAAATTGACATGCAGAAATGCTTTTTTAAAAGCCGTTAAGAATAAGATTACCAATAGCATAAAAGTCAGAATTGCACTTTACAGGCCTCTTGCAGCAACTTTGTGCTAACCAAAGAGCTGGTGATATTACCCTCTTCTCATGCAGAAGTTCTGCAGTTAGACTCGGTTTACAGCTCAGCTCTGCCACTCGTGGACTCACCTTGTGCACCCACTCCACTTCTCAGCCTTATTCTCTGCGTGTGCAAGCAGGAGGTAACATTAGTCTGTCGGGTTGGCATGAAGAGGACACGGGCTGAGGTTCAACCATGCACCAGCAGAATTCCTGGGAAACACTGCTAGCAGAGATCTCACTGTCATACACCTAATACATACAAGAATATACAGGTTTTAGGAGCTTCCTATTTCAACGCCAAACTCCCTTCTCTGTGTCTGACACCTTCCATTCCTGAGCACAAAAGCCATCTCAGACGTCACGTTCCTTTCAAGAGTCAAGCCACATAACTGTAACAGCTCTGCCATCATCTCGGACACCTCACTCTTTAAAACTAGGTCGGTAGCCGGGCTCGGTGGCTCAGCCTGTCATCCCGCGCCTTTGGGAGGCTGAGGTGAGTGGATTGCCTGAGCCCGCGGGTTCGAGACCCGCCTGGGCAGCGAGACCTCATCTCTACAATAAATCAAAAATCAGCCAGGTGTGGTAGCACGCACCTGTAATTCCGGCTACTCGGAAGGCTGAGGCGGAAGGATCGCAGGAGCTCAGTGGGTCGAGGCTGCGGTGGCTGGGAGTGGCCACTGCACTCCAGTCTGGGCAACGGAGTAAGACTCCAACTCCAAAAAAAAAAAAAACTAGGTCGGAGGGGTGCACCTTTTCCAATCTATTAACAAAATGGTGGAAAAGGTGCACCCCTCTCGCCTAGTTTCAAAATCACCCCAAAGTTGTCGTCATCTGACATGACACACTGAGGGCAGTGGACTCGTACATTGTGACTTCACATTATACTATCATGAAAGACAACAGTGAAAATGGGCCCTAGAGAGCCTTTCTCTCAAAGCCCAATATTTGGAGAGAGTGAAGTTCACCCCAATGTGTAGCTGGAGAGGCAATGTGTATGGGGGTGGGGGCGTAATTTTTTTTTCCCCTCTCCTGTTCCTGGCGACTCATTCAATTTGGGAAGAATAATTAATTAGCCACCAGCTCCCAAGAAGGGGTATTATAGGCCCAGACCCCTTCAGGAGGGAACTGGAGTCTGATAGAAGTTTTCACTGTCATCCAGGCTCTTGATGGCTCATAGGTAGGGGTACTCCAGGAAACAAAGACTGCACAGATGTTAAAGTCATGAGAAAAACTACATTCTTATGATGAGGCTCTCAGAGAGTGCCTTCATTTAGGCGGAGGCTGTAAAACATCTTACCCTAAAATGGGAAAGCAAATTTCATTTTCCTTGGCTTTTATAGCCTCTCTATTTCAACGACAAAGAAGCCATAAAAATGCATATTTAAAGCTCTTAGAAAGAGCTTTCCCTAAATATTTACTATATCAGAGGAAAAATAAGCATAATTTTATATCGAGTTTATGCAGTTTGTTACATACAGTAAAATTCACTCTTCTTAGGGACACAGTTTTATGAGTTTTGATGAAAAATGTATAGTTATGCAACCACCACCAACACAGTTTAGATGTAGGATATTTTCTGCACCCCAAAGTTCCTGTTTCCCTTTGTATTCAGTCCCCTCCCCACCACCCCCAGCCCCTGGAAACCAATATCTGTACTCTGTCCCTAGGGGCTTTTTCGTTTTGTTATATAATTGGGATCACACATCACATAGCCATTTGAGTCTGGCATCTTTCGGCTTCATGCCCTTGGGATCCAGTCAAGCTGTTGAGTACATCGGTAGTTAGTTCCTTTTTCATTGCTAAGTAGTATTCCAGGGTATGAGTGGACCACTGTTTATCAATTCACCAACACTGGGGCTCTTTCCAGTTTGAGGAGATTACAGATGAAGCTGCTATAGAAACTTGCATGGACACATGCTTTCATATCCTTTGGAGAAATATCCAGGAGCGAGATTATGGGATCATAGGACAGATGTATATTTAGCTTTATAAGAAACTACAAAACTGTCTTCCAACGTGTCTGTACCATTCTGCATTTCCATCAGCAATGACTGAGAGCTTTGGTTGCTCCATATCCTCACTACTACTTGGGGTTGTCAGTTGTTTGTGTTAACGTTTGCTGTTCAAATAGGTGTCGAACTGTGGCTTCCCCCTGAAGGCCACACTGAGCACCTTTCCATGTGCATATTTGGCCATCTATATCTCTTATTTGGTGAAGTATGTAAAATCTTTTGCCCATTTTTTGTTTTCTTACTGAGTTTTGAAAGTTCTTTATATATTCTGCATATATATATGCAGAATATACATATATGCATATATATGTGTGTGTGTATTATATATATTATATATATATATATTGTTTTTCTTTTTTTTTTCTTGAGTTGGAGTCTCACTCTGTCTCCGTCATCCAGGCTGGAGTGCAGTGACACACTCACGGCAACCCCAGTGTCGACTCGCTGGGCTCTGGCGATCCTTCTGCCTCAGCCTTCCAAGTAGCCGGAACCACAGGTGTGTGCTACCAAACCCAGCTAATTTGTGATTTATTGTAGAGGTGAGTTCTTGCCAAGTTGCCAGGCTGATCTCGAACCCACGGCCTCAGGCAGTCCACTCGCCTCGGCCTCCCAAAGTGCTGGGATGACAGGCTGAGCCACCGAGCCTGGCCGAATATATAGTTTTTAAAGGAACTTTCTATTTCAATGACAAACTGTGGAAAATGCATATTTAAAGCTTTTAGAGCATTCCTGTATTTACTATTAGCAAAAAATAAAAACATGATAATTTCTCATTTATTAAAAAACGAAGTTTCAGGAAATGTACATCTGTAGTTTTATTCAAAGTAAATGGATTCACAATAAAACTCTTTTCACAGTAGAGCTCTTGGGCCAAGACCAAAGCCCTCGGCCCACTCTCTGGACTGCCGTGTCCTATGGCTGTCCTATAATCCTTCAGAGAATGCAGCAGTCACCTTTGTAGGGACCTATCCACCAACGGAAACTGGGAGTCGTGTAATAAACATGCTGATATTAATGTCTTTTATTGGTTGAGGAAGCGTGAAATGTCTTTCTGTTGACATTTTCTGACTTCATTATTATATATATTAATAATATTAAGAATAACAGCAGGGGTGCTGGTTGAGACCAAACGCCATCCTCCTCTACGTCTGCAAATGGAGACCGCAGGTGTCCTGGGGACAGATTTTCTTGCCCCGGGCCAAGTTGTTCCATCAAGGTCAGGCCAGTTGGTGTGTGATGGTCTGGGGTGTGAGTGGAGCTGTTACACCCTGAGAAACATGCCTCCGCGGTTGTTCCTTGGCCTGCAGAGCCCGTGCTGGGTGACAAAGAGGGCAAAACTGTAAGCCCAGGTGCTCCTGAGAGGGTCAACGATTGAGCTTTTCTGGTGACTCAAGTAAGGCTTCCCGGCAGGGAAGGAGGACACCAGGGGCTCTGAAGGAACCCCTGGGCCGGTGGCCTTGACATGGCAGGCTCGTGGTAGAGAGTTGGGGCCCGACAGGCAGACGCTCCTGCGGGCCACCTCTGACTCAGTTCCAGAGAGGATGGCAGAGCATGCGAGCGAGGGAAGTCTGGCTTTTATCCTGGAGCCCAAGCCTCCCCTCGTGGGTAGACAAGTATCTGCCTGTGTGGGACCAGTGTCACAGCGGAGAGAGCAGAGGCCATGACAGACGCAGAAGGCAGGGCACTACTGAGATCACAGATCTCCCTCATCCTCTCTGGGGTATTTGGAAAGAGAACGTGTGACCTTGGGGATGTTTAAGACTTTGGGGTCCTTGGATGGCTCCTTGGAGGATTCAAACGTGTGCGGGCCTGTCTAGATTTTGGTCAGAGTGTGAAAACTCGGTGAGGAAGTTAGGACGGTGAGGGGCTCCAGCAATTAATAGGAAAAATAAAGAGGTGTGACTGCATTAATACTTGTAGTTAGTGAAGCAGACCAGGCAGAGATGGACAGATGATGAGGAAGGAGGAAGTATTGTGGATTTGACCCCAACCACCCCTCCCGAGAGCAGACACTCCTGAAAATACACAATTTCAATCTGATTTTGTCACCCTTCACTTAAAACTCCAGGTTCATGGAACACAGACCAGAGTTTCAGGTGGTCTTTATGGCTTTGCACCCTCCAGTCTCATCTCATTGCTCTCTCCTCTCCTCCAGTTTCCCTGGTCATCTCTCCAGTGCACACACTAGCTGCCTCAGGGCCTTTGCACATGTTGGCTCAGACTGCAGCATTCTTTACCAGTTCTTCCCCTGGTTAAATCCATACCTCCGTTCGAATGGCGTTTCCTCAGGGCAGCGTTTCCTAATTGCCTTCTCTTCCACAGACCAGGTTGGGTGCCCCTGTTCGAGGCGCTCAGAGATGAGGAACTTATCTCTTAAGTTTTATTCTTATTTATAACGATACATCTATTGTAGAATTTGGGTAAGAGGCATCTCCCCACTACCACCACACACCGTAGTCACATCAGTTAGCAGCCAGCAGTTAGCACAGTGCCTGGCCTATATATATTCGGATGGCCAGTGAATATGTGCTGAAGAAATGAATGAATGCAAGTGACATGCCAGGAGCTGTAGGAAAATCTCAAACCTCACTGATCACTCACCATCCTAACTTCCTCACTGAGTCTTCACACTCTGACAAAAATCTAGACAGGCCACGATGCCCAAAGGAGATATTTGAAAGCAGAATTTGGCCAGGCACGGTGACGCGTGCCTGTAGTCCCAGCTACTCAGGAGGCTGAGGCAGGTGGGTTGCTTGAGCCCCGGAGGTCGAGGTTCCATTAAGCCATGTTCACACCACTGCACTCTAGCCTGGGCAACAAAGTGAGACCCGGTCTCAAATAAATAAAAATGAACAGAATTGACCAGGCAAGTTAGAGGAAACAAAGCTGAAGAAGAGAAGAGACTTCATACAGGGGACCCCAAGGCACCCCCCATGAAAAAGCAACAGTGCAGGATAGATTGAGATTATTTAGAAATTCCTTCAAGAAAAGCAAAACACGAACTGATGAGGGCTGATAGACACCCCTCACTCACACTTATCTCACAGCTGGGCTCCCACAGAGAGCAGATTTCTACCAGAAGAGCCAAGAATCTGATCATTCAAGATACACAATTCGTGGGAGTGGGTTTTATACAAGAGATACTCAAAAGCCAGAGAAAGTTGGAAAAAATAAGAACCCATGACATGCCTTAGAGGAATCAAGAAATAGAAAAACAAAGCTTAAGGGCCGCAGACAGGTCTCCTAAGGTTAGTCCAGGCTTTCAGCAGATAGGTGGTGATTTTCAGTAACTCCTGGGGGGCTGTTGATTTTCACTGAAATGGGGATGGTTACTCTTGGGACTCTTATTTAAAAAAAAAAAAACTAACAATAAACAAAACAAAAACAAAACAGACCCACACTTTGATCTCCTTGCCCATCATAACTTTGTCTTCTCAACAGCTGCACTGGTGTTCCCTTTTTCTATTCCAAGGTTCCCACCTCCACTCTTAGACACCGACTTGCTCTCTGAGAGGCTGCGTCATTCTGGCTAAGCCAAGAGGCTTGGGGGTGTCTGGAGGAAGAACATTCAGCTGGGTATCAAGCAAATCGAGGTGACTTTGGGGGTCACTTTGCACCTCTCCTGCAGAGCAGGAGCATTGGCAAATCTTTTCAATTAAACCATGATTCCCAAACACATACATAACCTTACCCTGAATTCCTCTCTTGGAGTTAGATCCTCCTGTTAAACTGTGAGATTCTCTTCATTTTAGTTGGCGCTAAAATCAGCCTACAGAAGTCCCCTTGTTAAAGCAACTGCAGCAACTCACTGGGAACAGGAATGAATGCACTCCAAAAAGGCACCAGAGACTGAGAGGAAGTCTCAGGGGGGAGCAGGCTCCCACAACCTGAGCCCCGACCCTCTGTTTCAAGCTGTTTTTATAGAGCTTTTGGGTTACAACATACATGGGTTTACAATTTTCAGTTAGGACCGGGAACAGTTGCTTTTACTTCTACGACAAGCACTGGAGCAGACATTTTTATGGACATTGCCATATGAGGTGTAATAAAGCATGTTTACAGAAACACAGACTGCAGTTAAGGAAAATGGCATGTGGCTGCTCACTGACAGCGAATTTACAGAAGCAGAGATAGCATGCGGTTGCTTATTTAAGATAAGACCCTCGAGGTCAACTTTCCTGCTTAATTCCTGTCTTTCCCTCTCATCCCACGAGACGTTATTCAAGACATTTGAAAACCAAGCATGTTTCATTAGTTTTGTTTTTAAATTATTATTTAAAACTGTGCTAAAATATATGTAACATAAAATGTATCATTTTAATCAGTTTCAAGTTCAGTGGCGATATGTATATTCACACTGCTGTATATAACCGTCCCTGCCACCCAGCCATAGAACATTTTTCAATCTTGCAAAACTGAAGCTCTGTACCCACTGAACATCAGTTTCCCCACCCCTGTCCCCCAATCCCCTGGCAACTACCATTCAACTTTTTACCTCTATGAACACGACTCCACTAGGTAACCCTCAGAAGTGGAATCATGCAGTGTTGTCCCTTTGTGACTGGCTTATTTCACTTACCATAATGTCTTCGAGGTTTATCCATGTGGCAGCATGTGTTCGAATTTCTTTCTGCTTTTAAAGCTGAACAATACCCCATTGTATGTATATAACATTTTGTTTATGCATTCTGTCGATGGGAGCAACGTGGGTTGCTTTTGACTATTGGCTACTGTGAATAGTACTTCAGTGAACATGGGTGTACAAATACCTCTTTGAGGGTCTGGCTTTCAATGCGCTTGGGTGGATACCCAGAAGTGGCATGGCTGGATCACGTGGCATTGTGATTCCTAATTGTCTGAGCAATTGGCATCCTGTTTTCCATAACAGTGGCGCCATTCTGCATGGGTTTGAAAATCTCATCCAGGTGCTTTAAAGATGGATACCTTCAGCCAGGCTGCAGCTCTTCTGAATTTCGGGGACCAAGCCCTTTTTGTTCTTGTGGGAAGCCCTGAGCTGTTTGTTGTGTATATACAGGCAAGGTGGCTGCGCACCGGCAGAGGGCGCCCTTCAAAGTGGCGAGCCAGGGAAACTGCAGCACAGCTAAAAAAGTAAAAAAATAAAATAAAAAGGGTGAAGGTGACTGAAAAAATACAGGAAAGCATGAGTCAGGTAGGTATGTTCAGCCTGAAACATCCACCTTGTATTTAGTCGGATCCTTGGTTGGGGCGACAGAATTTCAGCTAAAACCAGAGTCAGCAGAAAAATAATATATTGCCTCATATAAATGAAAAGGGTGGGTATTGAGACCATTCCAAACGTGGCTGGACTCTGGGGTTAAACCAGGATGAGAGACTCCTCTCTCTCTGCACCTCCCAGCTGTGGCCTTCTCCACAAGACCTTTCTTGTCTAGCAGCCTCTCTGTGTGGTCACTGCCGCCCACAGCTCAGACTCAAAGCATTTTTTTTTTTAAGTTGGAGTCTTGCTCTGTCTCCCAGGCTGGAGTACAGTGGCCCTCTCACGGCCACCGCAGCCTTGACCTTCTGGGCTCGGGTGATCCTTGAGCCTCAGTCTCCAGAGTAGCTGGAACTACAGGCACTTGCTATCATGCCCGGCTAATTTTTTAAATCAATTGTAGAGATGAGGCCTCGCCAAGTTGTCCAGGCTGGTCTTGAACTTGAGGCAATCCCCTCGTCTCACCCTCCCAAAGTGCTGGGATTACAGGGGTGAGTGAGCCACTGTGTCTGACCAACTTAAAGCATTTTTATAACTGTATGTGCAAAATTAAGATATACAAAATTAAGATTTTTTTTTTCAGGAGAGCGGGCACACTTTCATTAGTTACTCAAGGGGGTTTGTGATCCAAAGATGGTTAGGAACTGCCTTCTCATTTTAGGAGGATGAGTGGATGAACATTATTGCTGTTATAATTTATATTGGTGGTTTTCATGAAGGTCAAGCATTATAAATTACATTTCTGTCTCCTCAGGAACTTTCGAGGGTGTTAATCTCCAAATTTCATAGTTGCCTATGTTGTAAATCTGGCACTACCCTATGAAATCTAATTATTTTCTCAATAAAGCTTTGGGTTTGCAGACTGTCTCACTAGTATTCTTATCTTCCCAAGACATTTTCTCTGAAAAGGCTTTGGAAGATGCTTGCCATCATAAACCAAGTAAACGAGAGTTCTTCTGTTTCATGCGGGGTTTGAAAAAATTTGCAAAATCCTTTTATCCCCAAATGATTTGGCACTTCCCAGTTCCACATTGCTACCAGTGTTCAACATAATCTTCATTGCAATCCCGTAAAATGAGTGGTGTTGTCATTCCCTTTACAGATTAGGAAATTGAGGCAAAGAGAGGTTAAACTGGAACACAGAGCCAGGATTGCTCCAATCATTGCCTTAGACTGCAGCTCCTAGCAGAACGTGAAGAGAAACTCCACCAAGGCGTGATTGTGTTCACGGACTTGGTAGCCAAGCTGACAGGGTCAAATCCTACTTTGACTACCGTCTTGGTGTGTTTTGTGCTGCTATAACAAGATACCTGAGACTGGGTAATTTATAAAGAACAGAAATTTATTTTCTCACAGTTCTGGAGGCTGAGGAATGCAAGG